TTTCAAAATTCGAAAAACCAAAAAAGGGATTCAGCATAGTGTTACGAAACTGATTAACATTTTGTGAGAAAAAGTTACTGAAAGCCATAAATGTTAATTGTGGGCAGGAGCCAAAGCTTTTCCACATGGATGTGAAGTCAAACATTACATATGGTAGCTGCGGTCGGGAAATCAAAGAAGAAGAAGTCGAACGGGCTGCTAAGCTTGCGTGTGCCCATGACTTCATTCTGTCTCTTCCAAATGGTTATGAGACCATGGTGAATGACAATAGCCTGAGTGGGGGACAGAAGCAGCGCATTGCCATTGCCAGGGCTATTATCAGGAAGCCTTCCATTCTCATCCTGGATGAAGCCACCAGTGCCTTAGACTCACAAACCGAAAATTTTGTGAAAGGAATCGTTGATGCATTCAAAAATGACGGAGTTATGTCGGAGACAACAGTAATTGTGATAGCACACAGGTCTGTCTCTAATCAACTCTCTGCCATTATCACCATATGGATGTAGTTCAGTTAACTCATGTTTGAACACTGCTTAAAGTTCTTGAGACCCTGAAAACATGCAGGCTTTCTACAGTGGAATCTGCAGACAGGATTGTTGTGATGGATGGTGGTAGAATCGTAGAGGTAATTTGATTTAACTCAGTTACCATTAATTAAACTCAATATGTACCATTGTCGATTAATGTAGTCTGGCCTCTAGTTTATCTACTAAATTTATAATCATGTGCACTATTGATAGTTAATCTCTCATGTTGCCAGATGGGTGGGCACAAGGAACTCCTGCTGAAGAATGGCACATACTCTCGCCTTGTGAAATTACAGTCCTGCTTCATCACTTGATCGCTTCCATCACTTCATCACTAATCCTAATTTTTAATCATTGGCCAAACCGATCGATGCTCAATCAAAGATCAATCCATATAATTAGAGGTTAGCTCATATGCCTTCCTTTTCTGTTTCCTGAGTAAATGTGATTAGTTGATTGCATATAAAGCGAGCCTACTATCAGTATCTAGTCGATATCAGAGCTCGACTAGGTGGCTCAATGGAGAAAACTGCAGGTTTAGGAAGCACTTGTCACTGCTCCAAACAGCAAGCAATCTTTGGACGATGTTCCTATGCTGTTGGTCTCGGTGCTTTTCTTTTGGCCAGGAAATGTTTTTATGTATAACATTTTCTAATTCTCCTTCCACTTGTTTTGATTAATCACATATATTTATGTTCTCTATTTTAATGTGTATGTTTTTTCCCTATTTCTTTTGTACATTTTGGTACAATTTTCTGCATTTTCGTTTTTATTTATGGGTCCTTATTCCTTATTCACATTTCAGACAGTATATCGCGAGCAGGATATATTGCAATTTTACTTATATCACCATCTCGCTTGTCTATTTCTCGACAATTTCTGACATTCGTTTTTAGTTTTGACACCTCGAAACGTTTCGAAATCCTAGCCACCACTGGGTTCTCATTCTTACTAGAGCCTATGTTCTCTCCTCTTCTCTTTTGTTGCAAACGTAAGGCAGAGATCAAAGCAGACAAATTTTATTTTTTCTCCCCCTTTTCTGCTGAAGCTAGGCCATACAAATACAGGTGGATTGATCGAATCCGTATCATGTTACAAGAAAGCCCTCTCATTTCATCTCTCAACTTCTCCACAACCTAACACTTCATAGAACCGTGGCCTTCAGGGTATCGGCAACCATGTCAATGAGAAAGGTTCGAATTTCCATCGGCAGCAACTCCACCTCCAGCTTCGTATAATCGATTGGCCCGCCCCTTCTCGCTGTTTCATCTGATGATGATCCCTCCGCTTTCCACACAAGCCTCCTCTTCTCCATCTCCGACCTTTCTTGGTTGGCAGACAAGCTCGTTTCGACCACCTGCCCTATCTGGAAGCACACATGATACAATATATAATGCAAGATAGAGAACAGAAGACGGAAAATGGTACATGATGCATGCAGCTAGCTGGGCTCACCTTCTTTCCAGGGAATAATTTCATTAGTTCTACAGTTGTCTTGACTGAAAGATCCTTGTCCTCTCCAACCTTTTTTACAGGTGAAACCAACTCAAACATTAGACAGTGAATCATGTTGGTATATTCTATTCAATCGCTTCATGAAAGGAAAAGCGTACGCAAATGTCAGCATAGAAGAGTGCGGGAGTGGCAAACCTCGTATAGATGGGCTAATCGAAGAAGCACCTTCCCATCATCTAGTTCCTGTACATTGTCGAAAGATGCAAAAAGATGACAAATTGGTCAGCTTAAATATCAGAAAAGAAACAGGAAATGGTGCTTTTTCAATTACCGGTTACCTGGAGGGTTATGACAGCAACATTATCAGGTAAACTGTAGGAGGGAGCAAAGCCCGAAAAGGTGGCTACGTGAGAGTTTGTGGACTTATCTCCATCCTGGAACGAGAGAAGGGAAATGTCTCAGGTTACTAACTTATTCATATTCATTCATATGCTAGTCATAGTTTCGTTAAATATCCACCTCTTCTGCAAAGGCTAGCAGCAAAGGTGAATATATCTGCTGGCCAAATGATCGGCGCCACTTAGCACCTTCTCCTACGGGGTCGATTCGGTAATAGTATTTTCCTTGGATCTGCAACACCACAAAAGGATGACTGATTCTTTAGTCACATTAAGAGTGAAAACTAACCGTTGCCACAGAGCAGAATTGGCCTTTCATGAAAATAGTCAGGAGCTCTGTTGCTTATATTGGATATCGTTACTAGAAACCGAGATCAAGTCAGCAACAAGCTTCATACAAGGCTTTGAACTGAAAGTTTTACCGTTAATCCCATGCACTTGTTATGAACACAAACTGTTTCATTAAGTGCCTCATCAACACCTCTGGAATCATCGAGTAGAAGTCTCCTGCATGGTCATAAAAATACCAAATATCATCAATTATTGATGTAGTAGAGTTGAAGGTTCAAATTTCAGGACCCTAATAGTAGAATTATAGAGGGATAACATCCATGAAAGAGTGAAAGGAGCCATGGAAACTAAACCTATGGAGTAGCAGTTCTATTTGTCCATCCTTTATGCTACCTCCTCCAAGAGCTCGATCCACAAGAACTGAAAGTTCTTTTTTGTCGTCTTTGGCATAAATTCCAAGATTAAGCTGAATGAATGGACAAATTGGAAAGGAAGTAAATTAGTCTGGGTGCAATTAACTGAAAGCATGTCTTTCTTCTCTAAGTGAAACATACCGGATAATAATTTCCAGCAACTGGTTCAGTCACTTCCAGGTTCCAATCTGTTCTATAATCACGAATCTGTGGAGGAAATTCATTCAGTTTGCTTGATGCTTAGATAAAGATCGCAACAATGAACCAGTCTCGATTCTCAACTTCAGAAGGTGATGATCTGAGTTAGATAAAGATTCTCATTACCCTTTTGATAAAGTCACGTCCATTTGAGTCTGTGTAGAATGTTCCATTGGTTTTCATGGAAGTTGTTATTTGAGTTACAACTTCTTTCCCGATTCCATCATCAATGGGTACCGGGCCGACCTAGCATTATAGTGTAGTATGATTAGAAGGATAAAGTGGTGTGGCAGAAAGATCTAACTCTTGTTCCCAAATAGATTCAAAATGTGAGATGCAATCCAGTAAACTTACTATAAACTCCACTTCAACATGCTCACTTCCTTTGTATAGTCTCGTAACCTGAAGCCATGGTCATCACATACAACTTCAATGAGTAAGAGCAGAGGGATTCTCAAATGAAGTTTAATGAGAACCCAATTTACTAGAAATTATAACTTGATTCATTTTTGATTGACATACTTTTTAAAAGTTGTCATATCATTGTTCTTTTTCTCTCCTGGGGAACAATTTCATTGTTTTTTTTTTCGGTGAATGAATTTCATTGTTGAACAGAAGTAAACCAGGTACTTAAGCATAGAAAAACGCGTTGCAAGTAATTGGCAAGAAAACCATCCAACAAGAAAGCAACCTGATATATCCATTGATTGATCTGTTCGTGAATTTCCTCTACCACCGGCCCACGAATGACGGCCAACGGAACCTGAAAGTTTGGATAAAAATTCAGGATTGGTCATTGGCAGGATTGTATATTTCACAGAAACCCAAAATATCAGAAGGACCTGCAAACCTGCTTTTCAGGTTCTAAGGGATATGTCCCATTTGGTCGAAAGATGTATGCCCCGCCATTCTGAGAGAAAGTGAAAGAAAAACAGAGAAAAAGTACAAAATACATAAGATGTTCGCTTCAAAATGAGTATGGTCTGATGCTCTGAGTCAAAGTTCATGGAATTTGTAGACATATGGCTCAAAAGTATGTATACTTGAGGGCTTTTGTCGTTGGTTCCATTATATCCACCGTAGAAACTAAAGGTCTGATAGACCTGCTCCTTCACCTTCATAATTTAGAAAGAAATGCATTCGATTAGATGCATAAATTATCTCATATCACCACACTAAGATAAATTTGAATAAAAACTAAGAAGGGCAACATGATTCATGACAATAAAGATTAAACAGACTCGTCAGGTGAAATACTTACTGAGTTCCTACTATTAGTGTAACTAGTTGGCTTCCCACCAAAAGCTGAACGACTGAGTTTCAAATTTCCCTGCCCCACTTCAGTTGCAGATTTCAGGCTTCTTTTGGATTTGTATACAGATGGATTAGTTGAGTGAGCACCTGACATTTCGAATTGACTTGGTTCAGGCGGCAATTAGAGTCAACAAAAAGAAAATGAATGTCCATATGTTCTGTCCGCCTCCTTTGTCTTGAAAATGCTAGATGATTGCCTAAACTGACCTGCAACTTTGGCGTCGGAGATTGTGTATGTGCTGAAACCAAAAGGTGGGACAGAGACCCTGAATGCAAGCCAATATTTAGGTGTTTTTGCTGGTTTTGTACCAAGGTATGCCTGAACATGGAAGTTCCTCAAGCTTAGATAGGCATCCACCACAGGAATGAGTTGAGCTTCCACTTCTTTTCCCTCGGGATTACGCACAATTACGTTATCGCTAGTAACCTACAAAAAAATTTAAAATCTTCTAGGTGACAATTGAATTGCTATACTTATTAGGAGAAGTACAAAATAATAGTGTCAGATGATAACGTAAGTATATGTTGAATATGTCGTAGGCTCTATTAGCTAAGGGTTGTTTAAAGCCAGTACAAAGCACTGGTGACAGTATCAGAAGAATTAGAACACAAACAACAGCTCAAGGAAACAAGGAACAGATGAGTAGGAATTACACACCGGTATGTTGATCACTTCATCTCTTAACCAACCAAGAGAATTGTAGACAACAACCACCTTCAATCAGAGCAACAGTATAAGATTCCAATGTGGAATAAGAAATAGCAGGTCGATTCCGGATATATAACAGTGGGATAAGAAGTCCTTACCAACTTCTTTCCAAGAGGGGTGTTCTCGGACGCAGGGCAGTAACTTATATTCAGAAGGGGGCACTGCATGGAGGATGAGGGAGGAATGAAAAAAGGAACATAAGACTGTAGTATAGCAAGTGTATCAACTATCAAGCATGCAGATTTTTTTATTTTTTAAGTCAAGTGTTAGGATCAAAATTTGAACCTCATAATCAATGTTATGGAAGGATCATCGAGAACAGCTCGAAGATTGTAGCTACAAGATGAAGATGAAATATGCTAGTCTGATATATCCCTCAAAGAATAAGAATAACGCAGCATTGGTAAGTATAACAGTATAACAGTGAAAAATAACTATTTTTGTCTGGTCCATCATATAAAATTATAAAGGATGACGGGAAATGAACACTATGACTCATTCCTGCTAGTAAGTAGCAGCTGGAATTTAAGCGGCTCAAGCTTAACGATGAAGAATTACCTCTTCAAATTTAATGGTTGGGCTCTGACATCCTGTACGAGACTGGGATTCGAACAAGCAACTGAGTGAAGTTGCAACTACCTTTTCTGCCTGCATAAGAAAAAGAACAAATGGGTGTCAACTAAATAGAATGAAGATTAAGTGAAAAATGACAGCTGCAATTTAAACATTTCCTGGGGCGTAATCAAAACACCATTTAAGAAATCAAAACTTTACCTCTTTGTACCCAATTGCAAGCCGTGTGGCATAATCATTAGCTACATGTTGCTTTTCTGTCCCAGCAACAGCATCATGATGCTGGGCAATTGCTAGTGCATCTGCCAATAAGTCGGTCTTAGGACCAAGCTTACTCTTTCCATTGAAAAACTCTAGTTGCCTTGCAGCCTGATTCGAAGTAGAAGCATGAGCTTATGACTTGGATAAAATTTATCCTAACAATTTAAAGGATTCTGTTGAGGTACCAAGTAATAGCCACTCATCACTCTGACATAGCGTTTCAAGGCTGGTCGACTCGTAAAGTATCCTGTCCAGAAACCATTTGCACGGTCTGCATAGCTGTAATGATTTAATTTTTATTATTAATTAGAGATGCTCTAAGTTAGGAAGCATCATTATAATGTGATTTGAGTCAAGTTTGTACTCACGGGAAAAAGTCTTCGGTCTTTAGTGGCCATGCCTCATTTGCAGAATGCTTGGCATCAGTATATATGGATGGGGTAGAGTAGAGAACATTTACACGTCCATCCTATTAGTAGCAAAACCAAAAATGAACAGCATGAGTAATGTAATATTATAAAGCAGAGATGCAAAATCCCTCAACATTATATACTGATGGAAGATTTCCATAAAAGTAAGTCCTCAAAGGAGAGGAATCACACGAGACATGGATAGCATGAATTAAAACAGTGATTAAACTGACATCACTTCCACATAGATAATATCACCTACCAATTTCCATCAATCAAACCGTTCATAAGTTAACACTTAAAAGGAAATTATATAAAGATTACCATGTTCACATAGTGAATCAGCTTGTCCATCTGGCGAAACCAAGAGTTTGCATACTGATACTTGAAATCTGTTCCCATAGTAAACATAACATGGTTTCCTCGAGTAATGTTCGCCTGAATGGCAGAAACTTTACTCATGTCAGTCCTCGAGGCAAAGTACCATTAGGAACAGAGTACTAACTTCTAATTTTGATTGTGGAAAGGAAAATTATATAATATCCTTCATTTGACAAAGGGAAAACCTCATTTTCGCACCTAAAAGCTAGTGTAGCAGTATGAAGCGTCAGAAAAATGAAGACACTAGAAATTACCTGCCATATGGCAGCAGCAACGAAGTCATTTACTCGATCCGGAACATTATAATCAAACAAATTGATGTCATCCTTCAACGCATAAGATACACAATTAGCATTATGTTATTATAACCTCAGGAATCCTAGCAAATTATCACTTCACGATGTGTTACCTGAACTACAGGGGAGGGATCATTAACTTCAAAGTAGAAATCACCAGGTGGAGGCTCATAGTTTGTTGGGAATGCACCAGCAAAAATCTACAGACGAAAGAAAGTGAAATGCATACTAGTCCACAGTGATACTAACTAGAATTGAAAGAAACATGAACTTTCATCACCTTTGATGCAGGAAGACTCTTGGAACCCTGCCACACCGTTTCGAGACTCTTCTCACCCTTACGTTTTTCCCTGTCCTGGTAATCTATCCGGCCAAAGAAAAAGGAGTCGAAACCAACCTACAAGTACATTTAACAAACATTAATCAGCAGTATGAAACAGGACATATGCAAGTAGCAATAGATGAGTTTACCTCAGCTCCCAGCAAGTATGCCTGGACTGCAGAATGTCCAAAAGGGTCGATTTGCCAACCAATCCTTGGTGTCACACCAAATTCCCTTTTGATGAACCTGTGTCCAAGAGTCGTTTGGTCAACCATATCAATGTAATGGGTCACCGCCTCATCATGCATGCACATTCCCCCATTTCTGCAGCAAACATTAGAAGAGAATAAGGTATAAAATCAATATTCTCTTCCATTTTCAACATCTTATACCAACCAAACACAAACGAAATAACTAGCCACTGCCAACCAATGATATGTTTTACATGAATTCTAGCTGCCCCGACGACACAAGCTGCTTGACTACGTGCTTCATCGTTTCACTCTGCTCGTTCCACCATCTTTCGAAAAATGCCTACATTGTCAAGGAAAACCAGTCAGCACAAAGAGGGGGAACAACTTGATGAGTTAAGGTAGTTTGGCATTCAATTGCATTGCACAGCATTTCTATTATCAGCATTAAGGATCTAGGCGAAGTATCCCAAATGGGTATAAGTTCCATAACCTTTGGTCGTTTCAGAAAACAGGATAATGAATCAATACAAAGAAACAATCAAGAAAAGGAAAGTGTAGCTACAAACGTCCAAAGGCTGTTTCACATTTCCTTTCCTAATCCCATCAGTAGCCGACTGAAACGGAAACTATAATACACTCGTCGAGAACCCATAAGAGAGAGGCTTACGATTTCAACGTAGATGAACTTGCGATTCTTGTCAGCCAGCAATGCCGGAATCAGAGAATCCAAAACGTTCTGCACGCAGGCACCCTACAGCCCAAAGCGAACAAAATTGGTCTCAACATATTCTTACAGTCAGGCTGGTCCAACAAACATCTGCGAGATCAAGATTAAGCCTATCGAAGGAAACCGAGCAGGGGGAATCAATTACCTGGATTGAATTGTTGGAGCCAACATAGTACTGGTCAACGGTCTTCAACCACCCAACATCGTCGTGGGTATGGGGAATCAGGTGAACATTAAGCTTCCCAGGAACTATTCCTTGTGAAGTGTTGTAAACCATGAATTTGGATTCCCCGCATGGAATCGATAGCAGAATCGTGCAAAAAAGAGCAGTGGAGAACAACCATGGCTTCATTCTAAAGCTCAATCTCCTTCTCCGTCGAGAAATACACACACAGCGGCTGCAGTAGAAGTAGACTGACGGAGGTATATATAGCAATTCACGCCATGGAAATAGGTTTCAGTGAGGGAATAAAGGAGTCCAGTGAGTCACTGTCTATTATTGGAATAGAAAATTGCCATTCTTTTGATGGATAAGGCCGATGACTCGAGATTTTGTCAACTTGTGCTTCTTTTGCAGGGGATGCTGGAGCAACCTTCGATGCATGGTTTCAACCGGCACCGGGCAACCCGCCGGGTTTTAACTGGCTAGCGGAGCATCCGGGCCAGACAGAAAAGGGCAACGGGAAACCATGCCGTTGGCTTGCGGCGATCAGGGGCTTACAGCTTACTTCGCCAGTCAAGTATAACTGGCGAGTAAGAAAAATGGCGGCGAAAGCACGGAGGAGGTGGTATCAGCAATATTGGAGATATGAGTAAAATATATCGCATTATTGCGTGATATAATGGCGAGTTATTAGTGTCTTTGTAGTTTCCACTTTCCCCTCCTTTTCCTTCTTCCCTTTTTCTCCGATTTAGCTTTGAACTTCCTTTCTCTCTCGCCTCAAGGAAATAAAAAATGCTAAAACCCAGGCCTTAGGTTTTAGTATCCCGCCATGTCTTCCTTCTTCCCTCCACCTTCTTTGCTCCCTCGTCCGTCCACTGCTTCACTCTCCGGCACAGCTACTAGTAGATGCGACAGCGTCATGCCCTTCAAGATGCTCGGAAGTTCACTCTGGATAGTTTCCTTGCTTATCATTGCGGCGGAGACAGCGTCGTCCTGGTCGCCGTCGCCGATGGCCAGCTCCGGCCCTCACATTGGTGATGTCAACATACTGCTCCCTCCTAAGATGACGTACTCTGTGGATTACCGGCTTCAAGGATATGATGGCTGCTTCAAATGGTGAGTTTATTGATGTTCGAACTGCTTGCTAGTTGTACTTCTATATATTGTTCTTCATTCTTCCACCGGCGAGCATTGCTTGATTGCTCGGATTTTAGTAGTTGACGTCCGGGTTTAGGTGAATTCAAAATTGATGGTTTGATTGGATGTGACGGCATTGTGAGAAGGAAGAACGTGGGCTAGAAACGCTCTCTGTAAAAGACAGTTAGGAATTAGGATGTTGTTGCTTGATGAGACCTATGCTGAGAAATTTTGGTTAGGCCATTGCGGAATGGCAGTATAATAATAGGTTTAGATCCCAGATTTTGCTGTTGATTACTTAGTAGTGACTGTGGCCACAATGTTTAGTAACCCAAATCTTGAAGGTCTCCATAGCCTGCCAACTCTCAAAATGTAAAACCATGGTTGATGTCAAGTCGGAGCTACGGAGGAGAGGATAATGTTGTTTGGCATATTAAATATCTGCTGATGTCAATTTTCTAATATTTACAGGTCATGGGATCATCGTGATATACTCTCTGTTGTACCTGAATATAATGCAAGTAGCCACTGCTCGACAAGCGCGATGTTGAGCTCCATTGCCCCCTTTAGTGGTCGGAAGGAGACTGCAGTTTATGCTACTGATATACAAACTGGGGTTGTAATTCGCTGCAAAGTTTTCATTGACAAAATCTCCAGGATTCAGATCTTTCATAATTCCATTAAACTGGATCTAGATGGACTTGCCACTCTTCGAGTTCACGCATTTGATAGTGAAGGTATGGTCATTCTACTCGATTCACATATATATAGAGCTTTAAAGTCCCATTTGGGTAATGGATAGGGTCGGAGTTTATGGTTTTTCGCTTCTCTGAGGTAAGCTGCTGTAGATAATGTCCAATGCTTCTAGCATTTTTTTAGTCAATCTTTGTTTGCCACAGATAAAACATTCCAAATCACTACTTTAAGTGCAGTGTCTTAGCTCTTTTCTGGAACAATTGCTTGTTTTATGCATTACGTGGTAGCTCTTCTGTTTTGATTCTTTCCTTTTTCAAGTTTTCACCAGTTCACCTGTGAATTATTTGTTGCAGATAATGTGTTTTCATCCTTAGTTGGCTTACAATTCATGTGGCAACTAGTACCTGAAGGTCCGGGGCCTCATCACCTAGTTCATGTTCCTCTCAAGCATTCTCCTTTGAGCGACTGTGGTGGATTGTGTGCAGCCTTAAACTTCAGGATAAAGCTTGAAGATGATGTATGGATGCTAGAATTGGATTTTATTTCAGTTGCTCTATTTTCTCCTCTATGTATCTGATAGTATTTTATGGTACGTTGAGCAGGGTGTATTCTCAGATCTGTGCGTTGTCAAAGGGACTGGGATTGGACGTGAGACTGTATCTGTACAGATGCGTGAACCACAGTTTGAGCGCATGAGTGATAGGATAGTACTAACTGTTGCAGAAGCCATGTCAGTCGAGCCCCCTTCTCCTGTCTATGTTCTGGTTGGTGCTGCTTTACAATACACTCTTAAAGTCATCAGAGGAAATGTTCCACAAGGTTTGTTTCCCCTATCGTCCCATTCCTTTTCTTTTTGGCAGGATTCTGATCTCCTACATGGGAACCCGAGGAAAGTTGCATGTGATACCTATGTGTGTGCTGAGTTTTCCTAAAGTATGCTCATTATTGGCTTTTGCAGTTGTAGCATTACCATCTCTACATCATCACTGGTCTGTCTCAAACTCCTCAGTTGCTGAAGTAGATCCAATGCAGGGTTCTGCTCATGCTCTGAATTTGGGAATAACGGCTGTTGCTGTTAAAGATACTAGAGTTGCTGGCCATGTACAGATTTCCTCACTGTATGTGGTGGTACCAGAAAGCTTACATCTGTATATAGTGCCACTCTCTATTTCTGGCGACCCGATGGAAGGAGTTCAACCTGTTGCTTCTGGGGCTACATGGTACGTGGTTATTGGTCATTGTTACCTTATCAAAGTCAAAGTTTTCTCTGGCGGGCCTGATGCACAAGAGATCTACATCACAGAGGTAAGTCATAGAACCCAACATGTCTTATATACTTCTATTCTTTTTTGCATGTCTTTGGTTAAGTGACCTACTGTGGCAACTGGCAAGACACAGCTAAGTTAACTCATTATTTTTATCTGCAGATTGAACTTTTGAATTAGCTTAATAGGTTTTTTTAGTCAGAATTAACTTAAAAGGTTTTAAAAAGAAGAATTAGATTGATTGGTTAGGTTGGATATGGTTCTTAACTTCACTTATGCGTAGCAGTCAAAAAATAAGGATAAGATTGAGGATGATTGTTTCAGATTCAAGAGATTGCCTCGGCTCTGGGTTCGATTTCCATTTGGTATTAGCTATTTTCAAAGTTGATTATTTGATTTCCTCCCTAGTTCTTCCTTTAATATGCTCCTAATTATTATCATTCTCTTGAAATTGCAGTTGTTAGCAATTCGACTGATTTGAGGTTCTGTTTTCATCCTGCACAACATAATTTGATATCATATGCTATAGTAATGCTTTTGTCAAAAGGAACAATGTTGTCCATGACATACTTAAATATACACTTTTATCTTGTAACTGTTAGCATGTGAGCAGATGATGTAAAAAAACCATACTATTTTTTGGCTGAGCAGTTTGCTTCATTTCATTTTTCCGCAAGTGTTTGCTCTGTTATTCTACCTTCTTTCTTGTTTGAGTTTGTGGTTGAAGTATGATAATGATTTTCAATCTAACTGTTTTATCTCTTAAAAGATTTGTGCCTCCCAACGGTGACATTTACTGATTCAGTAATTCTGAACTTTCCCTCTTGGATTTCAGAAAGATAATGTTAGACTGTTGGATGAACCAACTGATTACTGGAAATCATTGCCGCCATCAGCTGCTAATGTTGTCGAACATGGCTGGTGGAATTATAGAGTCATCAACGTAACCTCTCTGGGTCTTGGAAAATTAGCAGCATCTTTGATTTATTTCCATGGGCATCAGGAAAGAGAGCAGGTGAATATGACATTCTTTCGTTGAACTTTATTATCCTTTTTGCACATTGCTAGAATCATGCAAAAGTATCCTTTGTTGGGCCGCTAACCATGTTTGCTACAATCTGCTAATAGGTTCTGAAAGTTGAGCAAGAAATTGTCGTTTGTGATCACGTAAAATTTCTTCTGGATGGTAACACAACATCTCAAGTTGTCCACCTTCCATGGGCTCCTGCAGTTTACCAAGAGGTGGAGCTGAAGGCTGCGGGAGGTTGAATCCTTTGCGATTCCTTATCTACCTTAGGTTTTAAGTTACCTGTAGTCATCTAACGGTTGATGGATTTTTTGAAACCCTGTAGGTTGTGCAAAAGCATCAGCTGACTACAAATGGTACTCATCAGATGCTTCTACTGTGTCAATTTCAACTTCAGGGATCATCCTGGCTATGAAGCCTGGTAAAGCTACTGTGAAAGTAGTTTCTGGATTTGATCCCTTCAATTATGATGAGGTACTTATAGAACTGCAGCTGTTTAAATCTCTGTTCTCATGCATATGCTTGCCTTGATGTAGACAATTTGATCAGTGTGATTGGAAACTCCATTGACAACATGTCTAGATCTGGCCGTTTTTTATCATCATAGAGTGAAGTAGAAGGAATCCGGTTATTTTTTAGTTTTGAATTGCCAACATGTACGTAGCTGAATTGTTCTGTTTATTTGTGCTTTTTTGTTCTTTTTACCATTCTGATGTTCCTAGAAATCCGATTAATGTAGGCTTTTCTGTATCAAATTTTGGCAGTGGAGATATCCTCCCTGTACCATGGTATTCTTTGATGTTATTATCCAGCTATTTACTGGTTCATCTATTTGTGCTTGCACTTTTTTGTGTTTGGCCCACAAGTCAAGATTTATTAATAATGCTACCTTTTCTCATTTTATAAACTTCTCAAGTTGCTATTCCTCTACTTTGATAGGTGTTGATCGAAGTTTCTTTGCCTTCATCTATGATTATGCTGCCAAACTTCCCTGTGGAGACTGTTGTGGGGTCACATCTTCAAGCTGCAGTGACATTAAAATCGTCAAATGGTTAGCTGTTCTCTGGAAATTTCTTGACAATGCGTTCATTGCAGCTGGTACCTCTATTTTTCTCTTTACAAAAGTCAGGCTTACAATTTGCAGGTGCCTATTTCTACAAATGCGATGCTTTTCGTACTTTTGTGAATTGGAGAACTGGAAGCGAGTCTTTTGTTGCCCTAAATGCTACAGAGGAATCACTTGCTGTCCAAAAGCTAGCAAAAGCTGGCCATGGGTATGTGAGTGGTCCACCTTGTTCATGGACTAAGGTTTATGCATCTGGTTCTGGTCAGACGCTGCTTCAGGCTATTCTATCCAAGGAATACCACAGCTTTGATCATCACTTCCATGGACCTATTGTCTTGAAGGCCTCATCACGAATTGCATCATATCCACCACTTATCCTGGGTCAGTTAGGTGATGGGAACCAATATGGAGGTTATTCTTATGAAGGAACAGATGATGAAATAGAAAATTTGGAGAAGTTATATCTTGTTCCAGGAACAAGTTTGGATGTCATGCTTCTTGGAGGTCCCAAACAGTGGGGCACTAGTGTTGAGTTCATTGAAACTGTTGAACTGCTGGACGACGAGACTGTTAAGAATAAAGTTGGCCTTCAAGTGCATCAACTTACTGGCAGCTACAGGAGTACGTACCGAATTTTGTGCTCAAGTCATGAGGCCTATGTAAGTTGTGAGTCCCTGGTGACTTATATGTCTGCACATATAGAGTGCTTTATACTTTTTGTTTGGTGAATATGCAAGATATTAATTCGCCTTTCTTCTGGTCTTGAATGGCTCAGAAATTGGTTTTCAGACGTGGGAATTTGGCAGGAGATGAGCATCCGGTGCCCACTGTTGCAGAAGTTACACTGTCTATTACATGCGGCATTCCATTTTCCATTGCACTTATCATTGATGAACCTGGTAACTACTATATATTTTCATGCTCTAGAGCTGAAGTTTTTTTTTCCCCAGAATTCCTTTGATCTAACATTGTGCGACTGTCAGTTAATGAACGTGATCTTGTAAGGACTGTGGCTGCTGCTGAACGTAGCACAGGACACATTCAAATCACCCCTATAACAGTGGCGAATGGTCAAACTGTCAGAGTTTCTGCTGTTGGCATTGCAACTCTAGGGGAAGCTTTTGCAAACTCATCTTCTCTTTATCTGAAATGGGAATTGATGGGCTGTGAAGGCCTAGCATACTGGAATTATGCTTATGAATCAAAGAGTTCTAAGTCCAGTTGGGAGAGGTTCTTGGTCCTGCAAAATGAATCAGGACAGGTAATACTTTAATGTCCTCATGATCATATTGTTACCTCCTGTGTATTCCCTGTTATATCATTCTAAAGTTGCATGTCTACTACAGCTCACTATGAAATCGTGAAGAACTGAATTAGACAATTTTCCTTATGATGAGAAGTTGTGATTCATTTGCATCTCATGAGATCTCCTGAAATGCAAATTATATGCACGTATCAGTTTCATTTTTGAATACTTGAAATTGTAAGCTATTATGATTTCAAATAATGGGAGTGTAAAGCCCTCAAATAATGATGATGATGGTTCTAGTAATATTATTTATAATATCTAATAACATTAGAGAACTGTCATCAGTCGTCTATTTTTGGACGTAAGCTAAGGCGTTTTATTCTTGCTGTATCAGTGCATTATCCGTGCTACTGTTATTGGCTTCAGCAAACCAATAAACAGTCAATATTCTGCTGAGCTGGCAGACAAATCTTTGACAGATGCTATTCAGTTGCAGGTATGCTTTTGGTTATGCTATTTATATTTTATTGGAAGGGTGAGATGGTTTTTTTTACTATATGAGACCTATGTCATGTAAAGTACTTATTCATCTGTTAAAGTATGCAGCTTGTGTCGACACTGAGGCTGACTCCAGAATTCAACTTGTTATATATGAATCCTGATGCAAAGGTAGACTATGGACCTCTTCTTATCTTATCTATATTTGTCTTATAATTTTGCTTTATGTCTATGCTGTTGTCACCTTGGATTCCATGACCAGGCTGTTTTACTATTATTTATTTCCGCCTCTGCTTCTCTAGCTTATCGTCATTGCTAAATACCACTTTGACTCTCATGTTGCTCAATGATTATTGTTTGCAAGTTTACTGCATACTTCATATTTATAGTAGTCCCATCCAACTTCGGTTGAAATGAGGGGGCTACTTGTCAACTGTCTTTATGATGATGTTGTATGCACATGAATCCCTTCGTCACACAACTTAATTGGAGACCACATGAATCCCTCCATTATGCATCTCTATGTTTCCATGTGATGTATAACTAATTTCCAGCAGTGTATCACTCGATTATTCTCTGGTTTTGTAGGCCAATCTTTCAATTTTTGGGGGCAGTTGCCTCTTAAAAGCTTCTGCTAATGACTCTCAAGTGGTGGAGGTTCTTGAATCTCCACCTGGTCTGCAATGTCTGCAATTGACAATCGCTCCTAAAGAGCAAGGGTTTGCAAATGTGACAGTTTATGACGTTGGACTTGTCGTTCCAGTTGCAGCTTCTGCTGTGGTAATTTCTTTATTATTTACCAACTCAATTCTAAGCCAGGTGGCATATGATTCGAATATTTGCGGAGGGTGAATTAATTTTTCATATTTGCAACATATGGAGTACTCTTTTTTATGGTGTAACATCTGCTTTCTTTACGATCTTTGACCAAAAGTCCGTCCTTTTAGATGCTTCACTACATCTTGTGATGCCTATATTGCGTTTTCTCTTCCGTTAGCTATTACTTCCTGAAGGATTTACTTCTGGACTTGATTCTTACAGGTCCAAGTTGCTGATCTGGAGTGGATTAAGATTATGTCCGGAGATAAAATAAGCCTCATGGTACGCTTTTTGTTAGCTGGATTATTTCTGCTTAACACCATGAATTGCCACTAATCGACTTTTGTCGGATTTATTCAGGAAGGACAGTCTCATTCCTTAAACTTAATGTCTGGGATTAACAACGGGAGAATTTTTGACTCGTCTCAGGTATGAGGCACTCCTTTCAATAGCCACCTGTAGCTCTAGCTTAAGTTTATATTTCTTTTCAATTGAAGGATATTTGATGTTTTGATGAGCATTAATCTTGATTTCCAGAGTGCTCTTCACCAGAAATTTCCGCAGCTGATTTGTTATATATCTTGTTGATGGGTCTTCATGTCTGTTTATGCCTTCAAATAGTCGTTTCTTTTGTAATGTCCTACATTTTATGTGCAGTATGCATTCATGGAGATGGTAGTGCATATTGAGGATGATGTGGTGGAAGCTGTAGATAATGGCAATATTGGAAGTTCTTGTTCCTCCTATCTTACCACTCCTGACTTCAAGATCATTGGAAAACGGCTTGGCTTCACGAATCTTTATGTGAGTTTCTTCCTTAAGGCTTAAACTGGTGTTGGCACGCATTGCAAGTATGGAAGATTCGAATTTTCATATTTTGGTGCCAGGTCAGTGCTAGACAGAATTCTGGAAATGAAATATCCAGTCAACTGGTAAAAGTAGAAGTATTTGCACCTCTGAAAATTCACCCAGAAGAAATTTTCCTCGTTCCTGGGGCATCTTATATGGTATGATTTTTACTTTCAGTTGTCTTTTTCTTTTCGCCAACCTCTATTACTGTTGTTTTCGTTGCCTGTTCTTCCCTCCTATCTACGTCTCTATGACAATGTGCTTATTAATTACTTGCTTTATGTTTTAAATACATTTGATTGACGGACTTGTTCTATGTGTATCTTAAAAATTGTTTTGCTAGCTCAATGTGGAAGGTGGCCCAACAATCGGACAGTATGTGGAATTTGCTTCTGAGGATGAACAAATAGCAACAGTTGACAAAGCCTCTGGACGTCTTTCTGCAATTTCTCCTGGCAACACTGTAAGTCTGTAAGACATGATTCCCTGCTGGAAATCATTAATTTATCTATCATTTATGCTCTTGGTTTTGCATTGGTCATGGTTAGGGTGGAGAATATGTTTTATTTATTGGTGTTCCTATACTTGTTATGCATAAAAGATGATAACACATTTTTTGTGCGATTAGACAATAATTTCTACTGTTCATGGACCTGAAGATATAATTTGTAAAGCATCAGCTCTTGTGAAAGTGGGAGTGCCTTCTTTGGCAACGTTACATGCGCAAAGTGAACAACTTGATGTTGGTAGGCAATCGCCAATATATCCTTTATTTGAAGAGGTAAGATTGAACTCATTTAAAGGATTTATTTGAACTGTAAATCAGTAGTGTGTCAACTGACCTACTTGAGCTTCTCAGGGCAATTTGTTTTCCTTTTATGAGCTTTGCAAAGGGTACAAATGGACTATAGATGACGGAAAGGTAGGACAACTGCTGCATCTTCTTTCTATTGTTCTGTTCCTCATATACTCCATTAAGTCATCGTTTGCTGATTGGATGTAGGTGATCGACTTCTACAAGTTGGAAAAACCCCTTGGTGATAAAAACTGGTCCCCGTTGGATGATGAGAAAGAACCTGATTTTATGAAAGTCGTGTACGGAAGGTAAGCTGCTGATGACATTTGGACCTGATGTACGGCTCTTCCATTTTTTTTTTTTTTTGTCAAAGATATTCCCATGGGGAACAAATAGATACGAATTGGAAGCCTTTTCGGGTAGGGCTCTTCCATTGTTCATGCATGTACTTATAATTTTCTGATGATATTTGTTGAGGAATACGGTTATTGATTTGAGATTCTTTTCCCCTTTACCCGATCATACACCTTTCTTGTCATTATTCCTTAAAGTTGCACTTGTGCTCTGGTGTCCCTGTCATAGGCAATACTGTGTTTGAAGGACTGATAACTTCATCCTTCTCTGTGATGTTCTTTGCATCCCTTCAGTTAAACTCTTTTTCTTGCAGATTTTATGACCAAAGAGAACAGTCTCAATTAATGATCTTAAGAAAGTTCTTTTTGAACAGCATTTTCCTCTTCCAAACTTCTAGGCTTCACCTGCTTCATTAATGTTCTTGGTTACATGAGTTGTTTCTTTCTGGTTTTAGTAGCCCAGCAAAGTAACTTTGGGTTTGCGGTGATGACTTGGGCTGCATCATCATGATGCTTAGGAAAATGAGATGTTAGCCACTTATCCTACGATCTGTATATAAACGCTTCTTGTCAAAGTTGCTATCATATCTCCTTGGTGCTTATCTGTTGCCTTCATTTTCTGAGTGTCTAAGATTACTTTTGGTCATGCTCTATTCTCCTATTCCAGGTCTGCCGGCAGGACAACTGTTGCAGTAACATTCTCGTGTGACTTCGTTTCTAGTTCATATTCACAATCTAGACTGTATGATGCCTCTGTGTCATTGCTGGTTGTGCCTGATCTCCGGCTCACGCCTGGAGTTCCAACAGCATGGGTTCTTCCTCCTCATTATGTTACCTCTGCTCTTCTGACTTCATCTTCTGAATCACGTGGCCAGAGGGATAGTCACAGTAAAAAAGGAACGATTGCCTATTCCTTGTTGAGGATCTGTGGTGAAAGGAATGAAATCATACAAGATGGCATTATTATTGAAGGAGAGAAGATAAGAACAACGGAGAGTAACAATGTTGGATGCATACAGGCAAAAGATCGAATAACTGGGAAGACTGACATTGCCTGCTGCATCAGAGTTGCTGAGGTTTGCATCCCCCTTGCTTCTAAATGATATTGAAACACATTCAAGATTTGTGAAACATGATTTTGAAACATATTTATTACACACTAGTCTCTGGATCCTAATATGTCGCATGAAGTTGCATGGTTTCTACAAGTGATTTAGGGTTTATAAAGTGCAAAAAATCGTGCTTCCTCTCTATGCCGAAACTCATTACTTAGATTTTTCTTTTTCTGATTATTCTTATAACTCTAACTTTACATAGTATATCAAGAAGATCACTCCAAGTCGTAAATAGGGACTTCTGCTTTATGTTGTATTTGGTGATCACAATTGATTTTTCCGGATAAATTTTCATTTCGTTTGGTTACTTCTGTTGCTGCAATCATAAAGTTTTATGTCCTGTGTACCTATGTTCGTAGTTTTAAACTGGTGCATTGCCTCTTCAGGCTTTGATGTGTGGTTGCAAGCTTATTCTGTCAGATCTGCTTATTTTTCAGGTAGCTCAAATCAGAATCACAAATGAGGAGTTTCAATACCGTGCAATTTATCTTCCAGTTGGTGCTGAACTTGATCTTCCCGTAACATACTTTGATGCCTTAGGTAAGAAAAAGGCGTATATGCTGTATAATTAGTAAGTGTATGTACTTCACATTCCTGATCTTACCCAACTCTGCTGCATCTATCTTTACAGGAAACCCTTTCCATGAAGCATACAACGTTATTCCTTTTAAAGTCGAAACAAACCATCGTGATATCCTTTCTCTTGGGGGTATTAAATACAGCAGTGTGAATATTCATCTCAAGGTCTGTTGATAGAACCTACTTATTTTCACTCAACTATGACTTTGGGCATGTGCTGTTATCTGTCTTTCTATAGCTCTTTTAGCATTTTGAAATACGATGTTGAGTATGAGCATATGTTTTGTTCTCTTGCCAATCTCTCTATCAATTCCAAGCATTTAGTTTTACAGGCCTCAAGTTTCTGGCACTATTTCTTTGAAAGTTTATTCATCATTTCTTCTTCTTCTTCTTCTTTTTGCTTGAAGGCTATGCAACCTGGTCGGGCTCTTTTACGGGTATCACTCGCTAGCAATCAACAGAAGTCGGACTATGTTCTGGTATGTGTTTAACGAATGAAAACTGGGATTTTCGGTGGGGTCAATGCTTGATCACGGAGTCATTGGTTTTTATGAACAGTAGAGAAACAAATGCTGATGCTATCCGTTTCTAGAATGTGCTTCAAGGCCAGTCTAAATTACTATGCTACATGGTTCTCTGTTTAGAAACAAATCATTCATTTTCTCCCTCCTGCAACTGTTCCTTTTTGCAGTTCTACATGAGACAACAAGTGTGCTTTGATATATATGCTTGTTGCTTAAGTTAAATAACGAGATAATTCAAATACTGGGGGTTTGTCTGGAGTAGAGATTTTTGCATGCTGCTCGGCATTAGGCTCATAGGTCTGATTGGTAGGAGATCTTGTGGATTTAGAACATGCATTGCCTTTCTGGAATTGTGCATAAACCATGCTATGTCTATTTGATTAAAAGAGGGTGTATGCAATTTTCATTACTTGTAACTGCCGCCTTTTCACTTTCTCCGGTTTAAGATATTTGAATTCTGTCTTTCAGATTTCAGTAGGTAATTTGTATCCTCTGAACCCTGTCATTCATAAAGGAGGTTATCTATACTTCAGTGTGGAAGGTAAACTCGTGTATAAGCTTCTTCTCATTTTTCTCACTTCATGTGAGGAATTAGCAAAACACTTCCTGCTTTCTAGACGACTAATGAAGATATTCTGCTTTGTTGTAGGTGTTAATGACTGGTCGTCTGGCCGCTGGCTTAGTGCCAATAATAGTGTCGTAGATATTGATAGTTCTGGAAAAGCTGTAGGGGTTGGTGTAGGGTCCACTCAAGGTACTTCCTGATCCTTCCTCTTTCTAATTGATTTAGGTGTGTGAAGATATCATTGGCAAAACTATGAATTCCCTGATTGGAGCTTGCATTCTTCCTACAGTAACGTTTGAGTGCCATCCAATGAAAGTACAAACAGAGGTCACGGTGCTATCAGGAAATGTTGTTTCTGTTAATCCTCCTGAAGAGTTGCTGACGAATGTTCCATACCCAACGAAAGGATACAGCTTCCCTGTTAAATTCAGGTATTGCGAGGGTCTCATCTTTGTTATTTGGAGTGTTTTAACATAAAGTTTGCACAGTATTAATAATGTTGCGAGTAGAAAATGGCTTCCCTATATTCTTTGGGTGATGGACTCGATTCCACTCCTTTTGTTTCTCTCAGTTAATCAGACTAATAATCTTTGATAAGGCTGCATCTCAGAACCTCAGGCAGTAAATTGAAGCTTTGAATAAAAAAATTTTACTCGTTTTTTATGTACTATACTACTACTGATTGGGTGTCTGATTGGAGATACCACTATCACTATGCCATATGCTTTTATACGATATTAAGAAATGACCAGTCAGGTAAATGATGCATGGTTTAATCTATATGGGTGATGACAGTGGTGTACAGCAAAAGTCTGAATCTAGTGGAAGTAGCAAAGAAGTACAATTTGACTGCAAAGTGGATCCACCTTATATCGGGTAATCTGTACACCATCATCTTTCACTTCCGGGGTTATGCCTGTATACTGTACCTTCTCTTGCTAAATACTTATTATCCCACTTTCTGAACTGAAGATATGTAAAGCCACGGGTGGATGCAGACTCTGGAAATCTGTTCTGTGTCTTCTTCCCTTACCCCCCAGAACATTTGACACGTTCAGCTCCCAGGTCAAAGGATATAAGACCATATATATCTCTTACCATTTACGTTTCACTCAAAGAGAGCAACCAGGTTTCTGGATCGGCATCTGCGCTTTTCGCTGGGGGTTTTTCTGTACCAGAGATGGACATGGTAATTTGTTATTGCGATTCTTTTTGTTTGAGCCAGTTTCTTGTCCGGGTAGTAATTGTGAAAGAAATCTTTATGAATTAAGCCCTAATAGTTTTCACCTTCTATGTCATTTCTTTTATTCCCTGCGATGTTTACATGCACTCAGTTTAGGCGTCGTAATGATGCTCCTTTCGGTTGCAGGGTTCTATGGAGGTGAATCTAACACCAGACTCCAACACGACAACTATAACCATCTTGGGGAACACAGGTAAGTTGAAATCTATTTGATTGATTTCACGCATGGACAGTACAGCATATCATAGTTCGCATAATGCTTTAAGGAGAACCGGCGAGAGGTTGATTTCTTTTGCCAAATCATGGAGTTCAAGCAGCAAGCTTAGTATTCACCCTGAGGATCATCTCAGTTTCTTTTGTAGTCATGTTCCCAAAACATCCTAGTTATGATTTCCATTATCAATCAGTCATCTTCCGTTGCAGGTATTGAAATTGACTGGCACGAAAAGGATGCCATTGAGGTCAACCTTCTCGACGAGGAAGATTTCGGGGTTGGTGGCCGTGCTTCCTACGAGGTGAGTGGTGCTCTTCCTTCTGAACTCTCTTTCAACCAACTAATAATCTTCTCTGATCTCTGCGTGCCACAAACTAAGTCCTTAACTAGTCGAAAGACTTATCCTTGCTGATCGGACCTCGTGTTTCGTATCTCCAGCTGAAAGTGTCAGGACCAAACAGAGTGAAGGACCACATTCGAATCTCACTCCCAACCAATGGTGCGCCTCCCTCAGCCATTCAAACGTTGATATGCATGAATACCTCTTTCTGAAGTTACAAAGATGAATACTCTTAACTTGCATTTTCCTTGAAGGTCAAGAAATGTTAATTGACGTGAACTACGAACCTGGTCCAAAACCAGCAGTCGAGAAAACCCCTGCCAGCCTCACGTTGCGATCAGTCATAGCTGGGGCCCTCATTTTGGTTACTTCGGTAGCAGCCATTCTGATAATCAAGGGGGAAGTGTCCAGCAGAACTCGAGCACCATCACCACCATCGTCGATACCTCCAACTAATGGCACTGCAAACGCTCCTCCTCCTGGGACTCCCGATCGTGGGAGTGGCTCTAAGTTTACAGAACAGTCGCCAAGAACGCCTCAGCCTTACATAGACTACGTGAGGCAGACTATCGACGAGACCCCGTTTTATCGGAGAGACGGTAGGAGGAGGTTTAACCCTCAGAACACTTACTAGGTCCGGTTGGCCTCGCTTTAGAACTCTGCTTCTTGGTTTCATTTTTTGGAGGCGGAAAAAAAATATTCCAGGTGTAAATATCAGAGTGAGATGTATGAAACCTCTCCTCGAACAATTGATCTTGATGGATTTATCAGTTAGATGCACTTCTAGAAGTAGATTCGGGAAACAACAGAATGCTATCAATTCATATTAGGTTGAATTAAGCTGATGGATTATGGTATGTAGATTTTGTGAGACTCTCGTACAATCGTACTTAAATGAGAAAGTTGATTGATAATAGGTTTGTGAATCTTCGCTAATGAGTTATAATTTAGAAACTCATAAAGTTCTTTAATTTATATGAGCATACTCACGAATTTTGTGTATAATCTATCGCTAGAAAATTACTGATTATATGGTGTTTAACTCCAACTTCCTTCTGATTCATTTACAAATAAAGAGATGTAGTATATAATTATTAACTTGATTGTGTTCTTCGGAAATTAAGTAAATTAATGGAGCACTTCTACTATGTTATAAAATATTGATACTTTAATGTACAATTTGAAATTGAACCAGAACGTTAAATGTATAAATTCAGATTGTACCAGAAGAAAATTTATATCTTTATATTATGGTACAACTTCACAACTTAATATTATACTATCAGATAAAGCTACAAATTCAAATTATATCATTAAAAAATTTATACAAAAGAATATAGATACAATCGAAATTGTACCATAAAAAATAAAAATTTATATCACCAACACATTCTAAAATTTCTCAAATTAATGTGAATTGCAAACCGCCAATTATTTTTTGCCGCATTCGGAATTCCATTTTCAGGTGAGAATTGGACTGCAAATATTCACAACCGAGAGATTATTTAATCATTTATTTATTTGGTTCTGTTTTTTTCGTAACTTACTAACACCGGGAGCCGGAGGCTGATTAGGAACTTCGGAGTCTTGCGCTTCTGCCTGCCTTCTGCTTATTTTCCCTTTCACCTAGGGTTTTCACTTTTCAGTCTTCGCTCTCGCTCGGCGCTTCCACTCTTCCTTTCAGCTCGCTCCTTCGGCGCATCCTTCTACTCCTCTGAGCTCGGATTCGGCGAGTAAACATGGACCAGCACGAAAGCAATAACAACAACGGTGAGGGTCTCCCCGGCGGAGAAGCCGACGACGCTCTTCAATCGATCGACCACCACAATGATGACGACAGGTCCTTTTCTCACACTGGAGATGGAGCTAGTCCCGGGTACCGCTCTCTTTCTCTTCTCTCTGGAATCATCTCCTTGTGTTGTTAGGTATCGATTTCCTGGCTTCCGCCGATAATCATCAAGGGACTGGATTGGATTAGATTGCTTCCGACGCGAATGTGGTTGGAATTTTTAGTATTGATTCAGCTTTCGCTTATTCTAGTTATGCATGGAAGTTCGTTCCCTTTGAGATTTTAGGGTTGGTTAGTTTATGACTCTGAGGAATGATTATTGTGTATTGGTTGCAGAAAGATTTTCATTGGTGGTTTAGCAAGAGAGACTACGCCTGGTTAGTTAGTTCATCTGCTTCTATAAGTGTGAATTAGTATTAAGTCCACCTTCTTTAGTGGCGTATTAGTTTATGCCTAAACCCCTGCTCTCTCTCTCTTGATTTTTCCCACTGTAGCTCAATTTATCAAGCATTTTGGTAAATATGGTGAAATTACGGATTCTGTCATAATGAAGGACCGAAAAACCGGTCAACCTCGTGGATTTGGGTTCGTCACCTATGCAGACCCTTCTGTTGTTGATCAAGTCATTCAGGACACACATATTATTAATGGGAAACAAGTAGGGCTGAGTTCTTGGTTGTAATCCTTAGATTAAACTTATTTTTTAGTCTCTTGCTCCATAATTTGAGTACTGCTACATCATATGTTGGTTCCACTTGCTGAGTGGGTTTCCTCCTGTGGCCTTGTTGGTCATTTTAGGTGGAAATCAAGCGAACAATACCAAGGGGTGCTGCTGGGCCTAAGGATTTCAAGACGAAGAAAATTTTCGTTGGTGGAATTCCTTCAGCAGTGACTGAAGGTAATATATTCTGTTAGCTGTTTAACTTCAAAGGTGTCTGTCTAATGATACTAACAGAGGGCAAACGTTCAAGCTACCATAGATTCAAGCTTTTGCATCAATATCATATATAAAGATAAAACTTTTACCCAGTTTCATGCGTTGATTGATTTTGAGTTGCTTAAAAACCCTTCTACTGCAATTGGCAGATGACTTGAAGGAATTCTTTTCGCAATTCGGGAGCATTGCAGAACACCAGATCTTGAGGGATCATTCTACCAATCGTTCTCGTGGCTTTGGGTTTGTTACCTTTGAGGAAGAAGATGCAGTTGATGAACTTCTTACAAAGGGAAATCGGCTCGAATTTGCTGGAACTCAGGTGAGTGGTATTCCATTAGTGTTCAGCGTTTCTTTTCCTGCAGTTCTTTGAAGTATAGCTTGTAAGTTACAATCATCTAGATGAGGGATATAGTTGATTAGTTTCTCATCTTCTGGGGCCAAGATAACTCCTTTGGTTGTCTATAGTTGTGTGAATAGCGATTGGTTCTTAGTTTCATATATTGTTGAAGTTTTTGTTAGCGTCTGCTGAAGGTTGAAAGATAGACAGTTCAATTTATTTCTCTTGGTGCAAACATTATTATGTTTGTTTTCATTTGTTATACTCGACAACAAGATGTTAGGCCATTGTCTTGCAACTGAGTGAATGAATTTTCTTGCTGCAGTATGTTGTCTCTTAATACTTAATAGCGAACTGCATGGTGAAGCAGTTACATTAAAGTTCAAGCTTTCTGTCTCTTAGTATCCATCAGATTTGACATATTACCGATGATTGTAGTTATATTATGAATTGCTCTCATCAAGCTTGTTAGAAGTCTCATAGGTTATGTGATTGAGAAGATTAGCTTCATGAAATGTGAACAGTAAAGGTGGTCTTTGCTTATCTACTTCCTTTGTCTGTCTGCCATGGTGGTAATATGAAGCTGGGTCTTATAATATGGAAGTTAAGAGTTAGATGATATGTGATTTATGCATTTCTTCACCATCAAATAACCACCCTTCTCTCTTGTTCCCTTCCTCTCTCTAGGTTGAGATCAAGAAGGCAGAACCAAAGAAGCCTAACCCACCAACTCCTTCGTTTAAACGTTATGGCGATTCAAGGTCAACGCCTCGTGGTGGATATGGTGATACCTATGGTGGACTCGGAGGCCACGCGTATGGAGGTGGTGGCGGCAGTGCCAATTTATACAGATCAGGTGGCGGTGCATATGGAGGCGGCAGGATGAGTGCTTATGGTGGATATGGCGCTGGTGAATATGGTGGCGGAGGATATGGAGGAGGGTATGGCGGTGGCCCTGGTGGTGGTGGCGGCATAGGAGGTCCTTACAGAGGAGAACCGTCTGTTGGATATTCAGGACGTTATGGCGGCGGCGGAGGAGGAGGAGGAGGATACAGCAGAGGAGGTTACGATATGGGCGGAGGAGGTTATGGTGCTCCTGCCGACAGCTATGGCAGTGGGGGTGGTGGTGGGTACATGGGCGGTGCACCTGGCCCTGCTGGTGGCTATGGAGCTGGTGGTTATGATGCTGGCCTTGGTGGAGGCTATGGGGGCGGTGGCAGTGCCAGTGGTGGAGGTTCGTTCTATGGAAGTAGAGGTGGGTATGGGAGCAGCAGTGGTGGGTATGGCAGCGGCGGAGCTGGCGCTGGTAGGTACCATCCTTATGGAAGATAGAAGAGTGTGGTCTGTCGTGAGTTGAGAGATTAGTTGATTTGAGTTGAGGGGAAGAAGCTCTGCCATCCACCCAACTTTGTCAAATCTGTTTTAGCTTTGGAATATTCCCAAGTTATCGTCGAGTAGGAAAAGGGTGTTGTTGTATGTTTGTTCCTCCTACCCCGGAGAGTTTTTTGCTTCACTTTCTGAGTATACAGACTAGCTGGTAGTGTTGGTGATTGAATGGTATTTCTTTGGATCATTTGGGCTGTGATTTGTATTCTTTCACTTGATCAAATTGAGTTGAAAACCTTGCCCCTCTTTTAGTTTAAATCGAGTTTCACTTCTTTAAACTCATTTTTAAACCTAGGTTGGCCATTCGTTTTTAGTTTAATCTAGTTCATCAGTTCATTCTTCAAGTTGTACACAACAACTGTCGTAAGAAAATGTTTTCAAAAGCTTAGTTCTGTGCATGACGACGGCACGGCAGGAGCTGCTGTGCGTCATGATTGTTTGCTTTGGTCCATGATGTGGTTTTGTTATTCGAAGGAGATGTGGAGTGGAGTTTTGTGCAGTTCCCTGAGCTCCAAGTTGTCGATAGGGCAATGCGGAAAGCTCTGTTCCTTACTGCCTAAAGACGAAGAACGCTCCATGTTCACTTCTCGTTGATCAAGTGGTGAAGAAAGCTCCATATCTGTCGATATTTTGTGTTTGAATAACCATATTTGTTGAGATTGGAGTTGTGATACTTCGTGTTTACTTGCAAAAATGTTGTTCTCCATTGTCAGAGGAGATGTAGATTATAGTTTCGCTAAACTGCAAGTTTGCCGAGTCGTAGAAAAAAAAAAAGATTTTTCTTCTCATTTTGGAGTCGTTGGGTTGGTCCAAAAGAGGGGAAGGAAAAGAAGAAACAGAAAATTATCCGAGAATTTTTCTGGCCTTCATTGTTCCTCCCTCTGTCCCCCACACAGTTTCGTTTCGTCTGTCAAGCGAGACCGCAGAACCACAGATCGACGGGGGGAATCCGGCGGCAAAACAATCAGAGGTTGAACATAATGGCAATGGCGTTGTCGTGGAATCATCTCAGTGCCTATCAGAAGGTTTCCCCTCAATTTCCTTTCACCGTTTCTCAAGATTGCTCTCTGCGTCTTGTATTTTCCCGCCGGCGCTCGATTCTGCTTACTCAATGCATCGTCGTCCTGACGTCGGAAACTATGTCGTCGCGCAGGCACCGTCATCTCTCCAAGTAGTGTGCAGAAAGAAAGAACGAGATAGAGGAGGAGATCAAATCCATCCTTACAAAGTCATCGAGATCACTCCGCCTCCTAAGAACCTCGGCGTCCGCTGCTTCCCTCCCGTAAGTCTCCCAGAAATCCGATGAAGTTTGTTTTGAATTGAATCCGTTTCCCATCGCTTGTTGAATTCATAACTTCCCTAGACTGAATTGCCCTCACTGTAACTTGAGTGAGCGCTACATTGTTGATGTTTTAGTGCCTTTTCCCAGAGTACTTTGCCGCTTGCTGAATCTGTTAAGGGGAATTATCATTGTTCAAGCAAAAACCAATTGAATAAACTAATGCGGTGTCAACTTGTTGCGTGGATATGAGTTAATTAAGCTGACCAGAGACTGAGAATCAAAACAAAACTAGGGTTGGATTAGGTTACAGAGAGTGTGTGTGAACATACAGAGAAAGAACCAAAGTCCTGCTGGGTGAAATCTTGCCAGCCATGTGGACAGATTGGCAGATCTGTGCCAACTAAATCTGGTCTAAAGCTTGGAACTCATGTGCTTTGTATATTGACATTGTTAAATAATAATAGGCTATTGTACTGCATTTTTCGTGCAGATGCTTTAGATCCCCTTGCATTAGAAATGATTAGCTAGCTGGAGTCAATGTTCAGAGGGGAAGAACATTTATCCTTCTTGAATCCCTAATCTTTAATCGATTTGCAGACCAGCAAGTACAGAATTGACCAATCTCCATTAATTAGAGAGTGTCAAAGGGTTGAAACGGGATGGGGAGGCAAAAACTGAAGGGTGTAGGACAAACATGTCTTTCTGATCCTTCTGTTCTTCTGCTGTGGGGAGGGCAGCACAGAAAAATTGATGCCCTAATAATTGAGGACATCACAACTCATTAGATGGATAAGGTTGGGGGGGAGCATTATTGTTTGGTGTATCACTTTTCTAGCCTGCTGTGGGGGAAGTGGGTTCTTCTGTTTCTGGTTCTGAAAACCTACAGATATCTGAAGGAAATATGAGGTTCTCCTCCTAGCTGATTGTTATTTTAGGTACCAACTTAGGCACATTGTAAAGACCTAGTTGTGGAATATGCCTTTTTTTTCCTTACTGCATCAGACTAGACTACCCTAGAAGTCAGTTTCTTCAAACAACATTTTGACTGTGGTCCACCTAGTAATTGGCTAAACATAACTGTGGTTCCTCTGTTGTTACCTTTGTATCTAGCAGAACCTGCAGTGTGGGGAGAGTGTGACGATTGAAGGGCAAACATACACGATATCGTCGGTCACTCATCGGTACCAGCTCCGGAAGGGGAAGTACGAACCCAGCGAGAAGAGGCTTGATGTTCTGTCCACAGGGAGATACATCTTGAACCTGTATCTCGAAAATTTGCTTGAACAATCTTGACCAGCCGGCTATCCATCCAACCTAATCCTCTTTGACCATCATTATGTTTAGCTCCAAAACCGACTCTCAAGCCTGAATATGCCGATCTCTTATTTATCTTCGTGCTGCACAAAGCTCGTGAGGAACTTGTTTAAAGATTGAACTCTCCCTAAGCATTGTAAATCTGCTAGCTTCATTTGTATCCAGCAGCAGCTGAGCACCCCGGAGCAATATCTCGGCTATCAGGTCCATCGTCTGTAATCCATAAGACTGTTAAGACTGTACCATATCTATCATTAGGATAATTACGTAGCCGGATATCTATGTAAATTAGGCCAGTATCATGCTCCTGAAGCGTACATTTTCAATCATCTAAAGTATCTTGTACCGCTCATAGAATCTTGTAACGATATTTCAATGTGTTTAGGGTGCTTGCTTTCTCTTACGACTTAAACGCGCAGCTCACTCTCTTGCCCGTCTGATGTTCTGTGTTGTAGGCAAGGAAGGAGTTAGTAAAGGGCAAGTTTTGGTGGTGAGAGGTCTTGGCTGGCTGGCTGGCTGGCAATGGATGATGGTGGGATAATGAGGTGAGATACGAATACGATTTGCTTTGTCTGCATGATGATTTGTTATGTGTTATTATCTCTTCCCAGATTTTCCCCCCTGCAATTTGCATGCTATATTATGAAAATGATTTGTCTCGGACATGCTTTTTTGAGGGCCTTTTTTGCATTAGGCCGATTGATGGATCGATTCATTTTTGTGTGTGGAGATTGACGTTTTCGTCCCCACAGACTTTGGGAGCATGTCTATGGTTGTTTGTTCTTCTAATCTTTCTGATATCTGACCCTGACCCTGACCCTGACCCGGGTCATCGTAGGGTCACGCTCGCTCCACGTGGTCAAATCTAAGAACAGAGACATGAACGAATGGCTGAGATGGCAGGAGGATCAGTACACGGAAATGGAAGGCACCCGTACCGTTTGATGGGAAAATGGCGGGAGGGACATGAAACAACCACCATAGATGCTGCTGCCTAACCTCTGCCCTACACTCTACACTTGCTTTGCCCTGAGTGGGTCCAACCTTGAACACGGACGTGGCGGAGGAAGCATTTCAAATCATCTCTGTCCTTTTTTCATAATTTAAATATATAAATATTTAATAAAATAATTATTTAATAAAAAATAATTATATCTGAATAATTCATTCATAAATTAAAAATATCTGATTATGCAATCATTCTTTTCAGAAACAACTACGAAGGAATTTCATATAGTGAAAGAAACGCAAAAGCATTCGTTGTCTACACTATTATATAAGTCTCTTTCAATGTATCTTACAAAATAAGTATTAGCAAACTGGTCGCCAAACCGACTAGGAAATTTGTTCTTAATATAACTCAAAGTTCAAAATGCTCTTTTTACACTTGCAGTTGTAATTGGTAGATCAAAACTAGTGGGATTGTCGTTGTCGCTAGACAATTTCAGGGTTGTTGGGGAAAAGATCGAATAGGCATAAGGAGAATAGAGATCCGATTAGGTCTTTATTGCAATTGGAATTTCGTTTATAGAATAATAAATTAATTTTATGTTAATTTTGGACAAGTAATGAGTTGTGTTGTAGTGACAAAGTACTCTAATACTAGTTATAGATGTTGTCTTCCATCACCAATATAAATATATATGGCGTATTTTTGTTCCATCGAAATTTACCCCTGTCCCGGGACAAGGCCCAAAGGGCCTGCCTCATCTTCATCTCTATTGATGTTGAATATCGTAATTGGATTTGATGAGAGTAGCATGGTGGTATATTTAGTTATGTACTTGTTTTATTTGTTTTGGTTAGATTGGGTGATTTGGCCACACGGGGGCTAATACAGGTCGTGACTCAATCAAGTTACTAACAATTTGATGGTTGTAGGCTAATACAGGTCGTGACTCAATCAAGTTACTAACAATTTGATGGTTGTAGGAAGAGATCTAGAAAAGAGCACTTGCTCGATAAAATTTCAAAGGAAATAGATAGTTGTATTGCTGATGCCTGGTATAAAATCATATCATTCAAGAGATAAAATATGTACTTACTAATAAGCTACCTATGCATACTTATATATTGAAGTTACATATGGACTATGCAAAATTAAGAACGAGGCGAAAACATAAGGAATGAAACTTGATGAAAAGGATGACATATATTCTATTCAGTCAGAAATTTCATCCTTGTGGTAGAAGAATGGTGCTAACTCTAAAATCACTCGTTTATCATTTTTTGTGTTCGTCTTAATGTCTATTAAGATGTAAATAAAAAATTAATAATTGTTTAAATTTTATTGTATTCATTAAAATATATAGTCATTGTTATAGTCATAAAAGAAATATAGTCATTGTTATCGATGGTCAGTGCCCAAATAAAAACCAGGCAATAAAATTCGACCCAATCGAAATACCAGAGTGTACGTTCTGGATCTTGTATGACTCTATGGGCATTGCCCAAAATCGTTTAATTTAAGTAGCAGGCAGGGGCGCCCTTATAGCGTCCCATTTTCTACCAAAAAAAAAGAGTGTACGAGTCGAAGTAAAAGAAAATGTCATTAGGAGCAAAAGAAAAAGGTTAATGAAAGGAGGTTAGTTTAATTAACTTTGTTTAGGGGGGCGCATTGTAATTTGCATCATAAGATGCGCCGGGGAAGGAAGCGCCAGCCGGCCACGTGCTGCTGCTGGGCTCTATTCACGTGCGTCCATGTGAGCCCTTCCCCTTCCTCCCAACGAGGTTCCAATTTTCATACCATTTCTCTTTTATGTATTTGTTCTTGCGGTATTTTCCTTTCACAATATTAACATGCAAAATCATCACAATATTAGAAGTTAATTATGTGCTGCAATAATTAATCTAGATGACCAATGCTTTTCTCCGGTGAAAACTTAGTTCAGTATTAATCACCAATTAATTTGGCAGGCTTGTAGGCTGTTGGTATGAGTAGGTCGCATTTTATGTCTCTGCTTCTTCAAAACTACGATTACAACAAGTTTGTTGCTAGTATGAACATAACCAAACAAAATAAATGATCACTCGTCCGCCGAAATGTGTTGATACTTCAGCAAAAAATGATAGTTCTTTGAACCTAGAATATAGGGGAGATTAGATTGGTTTCGGGTAAATGTTGATGAAATTGTTGGATTGAGTAAAGGGTTTGGTTTTGGATAAGATACAAGTTAGTTTGTGTCGAGACACTCGTGTCCGTATACATCATGTAGATAAATACCACATTTTCTTGTTATTTGTTCAGGTGAGATTGTGGGATAATTTGGATAGAAAATTAGACATAAATAGAATAACTAATAAAATGATTGTTATGTTGATTACGTCAAACATCAATAATAAATTTGTTAAAAACGGAAAACGTTAGGTACTAATTCATTAGTGAGGCTAAGTTAAGTGGCCACTCTGTAATAATGGCTTCACTTGTTTGGACTTGGAGTGGGGAAGAAAAAGTCGAAGAAAACGCAAAAAAACGGCTATTGTATTGCAATGGATTATTGTATTAATTAATTCCTACATCTCCACCACATCCACGTTGAATTAGCAAAGCAAAAAACACCATTATCGTTATACACTGATTAATCAGCTCTTTATCTCTCTCTCATTAAGCGCCACTAATCTCGTTTTTGTTATCGATAAACTTTCTTAATATAGTTTCAACAAGAAGACAATCACGGATAAGAAATAGTGGAATACATTACTCAGTATATTTGTTTAGAACTTTAGATTCCCAGGAATTAATTAAAAAGAAGAAGAAAAAACTGAAGTTATTACTCAATTAATGGCCTGAATTATCAGATTCCTTTCAGGAATCAGTAGCCAAAAGCTCTGATTTGTCAGTCTCCCGACGAAGAAAAGAAAAGATAAACTGCTTTTTCCACTTGAAAAGATGATTACTTTCTTGCGGGAATAGATATATAATAGTGTTTTTTTTTCCTTCTCATTTATATGTCAAAGTTAATCATTTTCCATATAATTCAACCCTTTTTTTTCTCTGTGATTTGATCGTTTTCTCTCTCGGCCAAGTGCCAGCAGCCAGTCGGGCTCTCTTCTCTTTGCCTTGGCGATCTGATCTGAAAGAAAGAAGAGAAGAACAAAAGGGGTTTCACTTTCTCCTCTTTCTGAGTTGGGTTTTGGGCCTTTTGAGGCAGCAGCAGCTGCGAGTGTCGATTCTTGAGATTTCTCTCTCTCTCTCTCTGCCTATTTCCTTTCGCTTCCTCTTCTGCTTCTGCCATTTGGGTGTGCTTGTACAGTCATGCAAGATTGCTTCTTTATGCACTCCTTCCCCTGCATTTCTGGCTGCTGCTCTCTTCTTCTGCTTCAAACCAGGTAAAGCCTTTTCTTTGGCTACTGTTTGGTACACAATAAGGGGTTTCTGTGTGTAAAGTTCGCAGCTTTTGGTTTGTTCTTCATGTCTTGACTGCTACATTCTTGTTCTACTCCTCTGGAATCTGAAGGGTTGTTTTCGGTTTCCTGTGTGCGTGAGGAAGGTCTATTTTCTGTGTGTGAAGAAAGCAATGACGATTTCTTGGTGTTTTGTGCGTTTAATTTCGGATATCTTGCTGCAAGAGATAAAAGGGGGGACTGGTTTTTGGATTGTCTTCATTGCTTGCAAATATCATATGCCGTAGTCTTTTACAGTATCAATCCTCGACTTGTGTTCTATGTTTGTATCTTGTTTCCACCGATTGTGGGTTGGACTTTGTTTCTCTATTTTGTCACCAGTCCATCAATAATTCATCATCAGTGATCGGATCTCTTAGGGGGTATATTTCTATTATCCTAAGCAGCAGTAATGTGGATCTGCTCCAATTTTCTCTTGGAGGGAAGGTTTTATTTTGTCCCACTTGATTTTGTCTGGTACAGGAATCCTAGAAATTGTAGCGTTCCCTTGATTTGTTTTTTTGGGTGGTAGTGAATGAATGAGTACAATTAGTCGGTTGCAGTTTAAAATCCTCAGGATATACTCTTTGTTAATGGCTACAAGCTCTAGCATCTCCTATAATCAATCAATCCCTTTGTGTTTCAGTTCTGGTTTTTGAGTTACTGCTCCTCCCTCCATGGCGTCATTGGTTGATGATGGAGGAGTTGGCCCTTCAACAAAAACCAGCAAGAAATCATCGATTCCAAGAGTCCCCAGTAGCCCTCCTTTGAGCTCCTGCTCAACATCTCGGTCTCAGCCTTCTAAACAGATGTCCTCATACTCTAATGGTTATATGGATCATGCGATGAAGGGTGGTTCTGATCAAGGATTCGACGAGCCATCCCACAAAACTGCTAAACATTTCTTCAGCTCAAGTAGTAAGGAACAAGAGCCGGACTTCACTATGCCATCTTCTACTGTTGATAAGAAGGATTCAGTGTTAGTAGTAGAGTCCACTTGTGATGATCACGAGACGTCCACTACTACTACTTCAGATGGCTCAATCGAATCTGGAACAGATTTGGGCAGTGGTCAGAATAACAACAACCGTGCACCTTTGCCATCTCGACCTGTTGGAGGCCTTTGTTCGAGCCCTTCGAATAGCGTCTATACAGGCACATTGTACGCAGAGGCGAAACAGAGCTTCACCAACAGTGAAGAAACGAGCACGAACATCGAGAGCAGGAAGACTAGCAGCATCTACAGAGCAAGCACGGGTAGTGATGTCAGTGATGAAAGCAGCACGAGCAGTTTGAGCAGCAGCACATTGTACAAACCTCACAAGGCAAATGGTGATGTGAGGTGGGAGGCAATCCAGGCTGTCAGGGCCCATGTTGGAGGAGCTCTCGAGCTGAAGCACTTTCGAGCTGTGAAGAAGCTCGGGTGTGGGGACATAGGTAATGTTTATCTTTCCGAGTTGACCAGCACCAGGACGTATTTTGCAATGAAGGTCATGGATAAGTCCTGTTTGGCGGCTCGGAAGAAGCTTCTGAGGGCTCAGACGGAGAGGGAGATTCTGCAATCGCTGGATCATCCGTTTTTGCCCACTTTGTATTCTCACTTCGAGACCGAGAAATGGGCTTGCTTGGTGATGGAGTTCTGCCCTGGTGGTGACCTCCATTCCCTAAGGCAAAGACAACCTGGAAAGTTCTTCCCTGAGCATGCTGCCCGGTACTGATGCTTTCCCCATAATTGGTCTTTTTGATGTTTCTCTCCATAGTAATACAAGTTACTTAGCTTCTGCCTTAAAAAGTCTGGCCTTTTCCTGAAAAACTTTATAGTTTCTGAAAGAAAGATCATTATATTGTGTATTGGACTTAATATACACTGGAATTGCATTACACAATAGTTCATGTTTTCTTTTCTCTGCATCACTATAGTAGATTTTCAGATAGATTTGTCCTTCCCCAGTTGAAGCTTCCCATAATCAGTGCCCTTCTTGCTTGATTTCTCTCTCCTCAGAATCAGTCCCTTTCTGATTCAACCTTGCTTCTGATTCAGCTTATTAATACCATTACTCGACTGAGCTCTACATCATTCTGCTTCTTCCCATGATTGCATTTTTCATTTCTGAGCCATGTGAATGAAGTTTACTGTGTATTTGTGCAGATTCTATGTTGCAGAGGTTCTCCTTGCTATGGAGTACCTGCACATGCTTGGGATCATATACCGAGACCTGAAGCCTGAGAATGTCTTAGTACGAGAAGACGGCCACATCATGCTCTCAGACTTTGACCTCTCCCTCAGATGTGCTGTCTGCCCAACTCTCGTCAAATCGTCTAAACCCAACTCAACCGTCGACTCCAAGAACTCTGGATACTGTGCTCAGCCGTCCTGCATCGAGCCCACCTGTGTGATCCAGCCAGACTGCATTCAGCCAGCCTGCTTCGGACCACGGTTCATGTCTAGAAAGAAGAACAAGAACAAGAAGAGCAGCAGCACCAACAGTAACAGCAAGTCGAGGCACGAGGTGAATCATCAGGTGAACCCACTCCCAGAGCTGATGGCGGAGCCCACCAACGCACGATCCATGTCGTTTGTGGGGACCCACGAGTACTTAGCACCAGAGATCATAAAGGGGGAAGGACATGGAAGCGCTGTGGATTGGTGGACTTTTGGGATATTTCTGTATGAGCTGTTGTTTGGTAAGACTCCATTTAAAGGAGCTGGGAATAGGGCCACGTTGTTCAATGTGATCGGTCAGCCATTGAAGTTCCCTGAAACTCCCAGTGTGAGCTTTGCTGCTAGGGACTTGATCAGAGGGCTGCTTGTGAAGGAGCCACAGCACAGGCTTGCTTATAGACGGGGAGCTACTGAGATCAAGCAGCATCCTTTCTTTCAGAGTATTAACTGGGCACTGATTCGGTGCACTAGCCCTCCTGATGTGCCAAGGCAGGCCATGGCGGACATATTGAGAGCAGAGAAGGTGGCTGCAGCGGCGGCTGGTGGTGTGAATGGAGGAGTTGGTGGTGGGAATGTGGATGTGAAGCCCGCAGGTAATTATTTGGACATTGATTTCTTTTGAGTTGTGCTGTTGTAGAGTTGGGGCTTGTTGCAGCATCCTCTGATGCTGCTGATTGATGATGATCAATTGTAATGTGGGTGTCATTTTCTCATTGGGGAGAAAATCAGGCTATATGAAAAGGGAAGAGAACCTGTGAAGGAATGGGGGAAGATTGTGGGAGGGGGTAGTGATGGATGGGTTGAACGTGTAATCAGCTTTCATCTCAATGCAAAACACACATCCATTGTGGTTGGAATTAGGTGTTTGGTTAGGTTTCAGACTGTCACAAAATGTTCATCTATGTGCTCAATTCAATCAATTGGTTCATGGAATGAAATACCAGTGCAAGGTAATCACCTATTTAAGCTTTCATTAACCACATATGAGGTCTAATATATCATTAGAAAATCCAAGCATGAAGCCTCAAATCATTGCCATTTTGCATGTGATTTGGATGCTCGGCCAACTCGGCATGTCCAAGAATGGGAACTCGAGTGGTTTCATAGCTGTCCTTTAATCCCAAGCCCAAAGACAATTGCCAAATTTTTTGGCTGGCTGATTCCCCAATCAGGATTTCAGATATTAAACACTTTTACTTTACATCGGAATTCAGCATCGAGTCTAATCCCAATATTTGACCCACATGGCAAGCTTTTAATTTTTTTTTATAACTGGCAAGCTTTTAATTAATTAGGACCCAGATATATTTTTTTTAATTATGATTCAGTACATGTTTGTTGTGGCACTCTATTATGATCAAATAGCAAAATCTTATATTTGAGAAACAAACTTAAATTGATCTATGATTTTAAATTTATATTTCTAAATCAGAGGAATGTCATTTCACGACGATGGCCTAGCTGTGAGATGCCTAATAAGCAGGCCTCAATCCCTTTTTTTTTTGACAATAAAGGGTATGATATTGCATATCACTTGGTTGCGGTTACAACATGGGGTTACAACAAAGGGAAAAGAACATCGAGCACAGTAACCCAGTCAATGGGGTGGCAATCTCCAGCACATGATCTAGTAACCCAATCAGCTTTGACATTGAAAGAAAGCTTAACATGAGAAACTTTGATCAACGGGTGACGAAAGAGGATGTCTCTCATGACACCTAACCAAGCAAAGATTCTCCAAGGCCATCGTGAAGGAGCCGCTTGCAAGGCTTTCGTGATGATCAAGCAATCCATCTTGATAAGGTAGTGAGATCCAAGCTGACTTGCCAATAAAATGCCTTCCAACATTGCTTTTGCTTCCGCTATTTCACAACAAAAACTTGTTATTTCACGAATATGATGTCGGACCATATCTTCTAATCGATAAATGCAAAGTCATTACTCAAATTACAATAAATGCTATTTATGGCCGGGGAGATCCCAAAACCTTGTCGTTGGGCAGGACCAGCCACTCTAATCCAATCCAAATATCAATTTAGTCCAACCTACCCACACTCATATGACATCCTTTCTTCACCCATAATAAACCTAAAATTAGACGAGTTGGCCAAAAGAACAAGCAATTGTCCATGTGGTTTATATATCACCCATTGTTGGGCCTGGCGAGTATCCATATCCTCAAAAAATCTTCTCTTTCGGTGTACAAAGCCCAGCCCGAGTTTGTAATACCTACGTGGAAATGCTCTCTGAATTGTAACAAACTGTTGCCTACGTGGACTGTTCGCTGTAACAAACTGTGTAACTACTCGCTTGACTTTACGGCAAGGTTGTCAAACCGGTTTATGCCAGTGTGCCGGTCTAGCATGTGGAATGGTTCGACCGGTGGCACATACCGGTTTGTGCCGGTTCATGCCGGTCAATATTACAAATAAAATTATAAATACTCATATTGAAACATGACATTAACGTCAATACCTAAACATTTATACTTGAATCCAACAAATAACAACAATATTTAACTTTTATACTCATAAAATAAATAATAAAATAATTTTAATCAATTAAATTCACTAAAATAATGTCATTTTACTTGGAGATTCGTATATCGATCATGCCGGTCATACCGGTGGTGTCACGCCGATTTTATGACCGGTATCGGTTGAACCAGGTACAACCGGTGGCACGCCGGCCGGCGTGACAACCATGCTTTACGGCTTACCTCCTCCCTCCAATTTTCAAATGGGACCCACCCCATCCTCTCTCACTCACGCGCGAAAACGATTTTCTTACCGCCAATTTTTCTAATTTTCTTAGATCTATTTCCCACGATCCAGGAATTAAAAATATCCCACGTCACCGCCACCCGTACCCATTCCCAGAGCGCCACGTCATTTCCTCGCATGCAACCGCCACTGCACTGTAGCATTTCCCCCCTACTCCAGTCAGTAACGTGCTCTTCACGCGCATCCCCTTCCGTCTCTTTCTCTCTCCTTGCCGTTTCTTCCCCTCACGCGCCTCCCCTTTCCTTGCTTTTTCCTGCGCTTTCACCGATGGCGAAGACAATTTTGTAAGAAGAAAAGAAAATTTAAAATTGAAATATTATGCGCATTGGACAACCCTGCTGCCGCTCCTTTAAATACGTCGCTGTCACTCTCCTCCTCCCCCACTCATCATCGTCTCCGAGCCTTCCCCATTTCAACCGTCTTCTCTGCTCCCTGCGTTCTTATCCAGCGAAAACCCTAATTCGTTCCAGCGCGAGCTTGAGCCGAGGATCTTCGATGGCGGAATCGGACAACGTTCCTGCTGCTGGTGCTGCTGCGGCGGCGGCCGTGGAGGTGGAAGCGGGAGCCGTGGTGGTGACGTACGAGGAGCCGGACGAGGAGAAGTTCGGGTTCAGCCGTCCGGAGATGTACAAGGAGAAGCTCGCCGGGACCGTCGATGCTTACGACCGTCACGTGTTCCTCTGCTACAAGAACCGCGAGTCGTGGATGCCTCAGGTCGAGAAGACCGAATTCGATACCGTGCCGAAGCTGATGGCCGCTGCTATCCGATCTCGCAAGAGCGAAATCACAGTCAAGGTATCGATTCCGATTCCTCCCGGCTTGAATTGATTCTATCTCTTGTTCGATTTTCTGCTTTGGTAGTTTCTGATTTCGGCGTTTGATCGGGTTTCTGTTTGGGCAGACCAAGGTTACCACGTGCGAGACACGTGTGGAGGCGGGGTTCGAGGAAGGAGACGTGCTCATCTTCCCCGATTTGGTCAAATACAAGTGAGTTTCGTTTCCCTGTTTGAATTTATCGATTTCGAGCATTTCTGTGTTCATCGGAGCTGCGTCTCGGCTCTAGAATGTTTCTCATTTCCTCGCGCCGCCGGCGTACTACCGATCACGATGACTAGCTTCTCCAGCCGAGTCTTATTAATTTTAGTCTACTACTTCTAGCGAATTTCCCTGTGACTTGTGCGATGCCCAGAATTGTGGGGTTCTTGTGTGTATTTGATGAATTGATGATTCTCAGGGATGGATTTTGATTGATTAAGGGGTTTTGTGATATTTTTTCGGAAATCAGGGGTTTGAAGGAATCGGATGTTGATGGTTTCGTTGACGATGTGCTTGTGAATGGGAAACCATGGGCTTCTGGGCTGGCAGAGTCGTTGGCTGGGTCTCATATCTTTGTGTGTGCTCATGGGAGTCGTGATAAGAGATGTGGTGTTTGTGGCCCTGTTCTGATTGACAAGCTCAATGAGGATATTGAGGCTAGAGGGTTGAAGGATCAGGTGTTTGTCAGTGGTTGCTCACACATTGGGGGCCATAAGTATGCAGGCAACGTGATTGTATACGGATCAGATTCTGAGGGCAAAGTCACTGGACACTGGTGAGACTTAGGGATTATCCAACCTGCATATCCATTTTGCTGTGGTGTAGAGAAACTGAATGGAGGATGGTGTTTAACTGAATCTATTGCTGCAGGTATGGCTATGTTACTCCTGAGGATGTGTCTGAGATTCTTGATCAGGATATTGGAAAGGGGGAGGTGATAGAACGTCTATTCAGGTTTGTGAGCTTGTGCTTACTTCTGTTCTGTGCATGCTTTCCTTCTATCATGTGCATTCTTGCAATGACTATAACTAGGTAGTATATAAAAAGCATTGATCCTTGAGATATTAGCTGTGAAGTCTGTATCCACCTTGTGGTGTATAGAAGAGCCACTTTGTTTCCTACTTTTAGCTTCTGTTCTCTAAACCTAAAGCCTGGTTTAATCTACATATTTTACTTCTATCCTTTGCATTCTTGCAACCAAGTATAAATTGGTATGATAGAGAAAGAAGATGCTTGAGATATCAGCTGTGAGTCTCTATACACCCTGTGATATCTAGAAGAGGTATTATGTTTCCTAGTTTGAACCTTTTGATATACTGTAGCTTCTGATTCTGCTGAATTAAACAATCTTGTTCTTGTACAAACTTCTTTCTGGGTTTGCATGCTCACTACGGATTGTGGCATATCGTAGACAGGACCTTGATACTGATATGAGATTATATTTTTCCTTCAATGTGTCTATCTTCCAATAGGTACTGATAAATGGTGCATGATACTCAATGTACCAAGTTTAATTTCATGGAAATTTCTTTCTTGTCGCATGATATTTGGAATACTAGCAAATATATACTTCTTTCAATATAAACTCCTTTGTCATCCATCATATGGCGATTTGGAAAACTGATAAATGCACACATTGCAAATGCAGGGGCCAACTTGGTGCTCCAGTTGAACTCGAGAATGCAGTAGCAAATGAGAAGGTGGTTCCTAATGGAGAAGCAGCTCATGAAGCCAAGAAGCCCAGCACCAATGGAGAAGCAGCAACTGAAGTTATGACCAGCACTCAGGTGGTGAACAAGGACACTGCACCGATCAGTTGTTGCCAAGGTGTCAACGGTATCTCCTGCTGCAGAGAAGTGAACACCGAACCAAGCGAGGAAACCAAGAAGGAAACCACTGAGAAGAAGAATTGCAGTGTGGGGAGTAAGGTGACAGACTGGATCCAATCACTCGATCAGAGCGACATCCTTGCAGGTGCTGCCGTGGTGGGAGCAGTAGCAACCATAGCAGTTGCCTACAGCATCTACAGGAGGTCAGGCAAATAATGCCGTTGCCCCTCGCTGAATTTCCACCGTTTTAAGTGTTGTTTGTTGGTAAGGAAAGAGAGAGGATACACTGGGTTCTGTTTTTGGTAGACGGGTTCAGAAGAACTGAAACAGCAGGTTTAGAATAAGATTATCCACAGAACTTTACTATTAGTAATTTGAGCAGTAAGAATACATTCAATGGTTTTGATATTAAGGTGGTGGGATTATGTATTTATTACCACCACCAGTAACTTCAACAGGTTAAAAACATATAATAGCTTCCTCTGTTACTGCTCTATGGTTGCCGTTTTTCACTTGTTCTTTCGTGGTAAACTATTCATATAGAAATGAAGGAAAGGCTAATATAATTGAAGTTAAT